ACTTGATTTTCATTTTGATGGCGGAATACATAAATATGTAAGTAGGGTTCAATCTTATAAAGGCGTATATATATCCTTTGACTTTGTTTATCCAAAATATTTGGAAAATGTTAGAATTCATTATTACTTTGGATGATCCCACAGATAATTGGTAATTCTTGTGCAGTAAATTACCATCTTTAAGTTACTAAATTAACCGTACACTTAATTATAATGAGTAAGAATATCATAATATGAGTAGTCTTTTTTCTGGCCCAAAATATTTAACAGAAAATTAACTAATTATAATATAATAATTCAAGTAATACACAATATAACTACTAGTTGTTTATAAATCATCATCTATTTAGTAAATATTACTGTGTATTTATCTGTTTAATTTTTTCTGTTTTCAAATATTGTTAAAGACTTAGTGATTATTGTCATTAGATTATAGAGATCACTAGCGCTAAGCAATTTAGCGCACTCATATTAAGACAATAATATTAAAAAATGTTATAAAACATAAGAATGATGCTACTCAAACCTACACAATGTAAAAATTAATGGTTTTTCATGGCTTAGTCTCTATGAAAGTGACGTTTTTAAATCTACGGATGAAAATATATGCACAAACTTAAAAACAATATACTAAAATAAATAATAAATAAAAACTACAAAAAAAATAATATACGTTGTCAGGAGTGAGACATAATTTATGCTGTAACAATTCGCTTTGAATTTTAAATTGAATTAAAAATTAATATATGTACGGTATATACTCCTCACTACAATCGCCCAATTTTTCTGTGAAATAATCCACTTCGGAATATAAAAAATGTAATTTGAGATTCATTAAGCAGCCTAGGTTTTTGAATTTTTCTACCAAATTCAACACTGTTTCTTTACAGTCTGGACTTTCTCGATTTCCTAAAAAGGTTTCAATTAGTTCCTTAAAACATAAAGATTTCACCAAGATGCTAAGGCAGATGGGATATAAACATGTTAGCCGATTACACACAATAGTTCGATACCACAAAAGTGAGTAGTAGTCTTGATACCACAATAGTGAGATAAACTGATTTCATGTGATCACTAAGGCCAAAAAACCTCTTACCTTGAAAAACTTTTCTCAAGAATCTCAATCGACATAGACTCACTGTGTAAATTAATATACATGAAGCATTAACGGATACAGTTACTTAATTAGGCCTACAGATATTAAAACTTTGTCACGTCAAAACAATTAGCTTTCTTTCTTTAATCCTATTTGTTACTCAAATTTTAATACTTAACTTAAGCAGTTTGAGTTTAGAACTTCAGTGTATTTAGCAAACCTGACAGGGTCAAATGGACCTCGGATTCGGATTCAGCGACCCCTAAAACATACACACATACCATAGTCTTGCCTTCTGGAACTTCACTTTTTTGTGGGCCGTGCCGTGTGTAATGGTTTCGATATTATGGCGAATTCGCCGATTATAACTACGAACAAATAATATAGGCTGTTACAAATTCCTCACTACAGGAATCTCGGAAATGGTGAGAAGTAGCTTAAATGGGGTCAAAGTTGCATAATCATACTCTAAAAAATCAAGGCTAACATGATTAGTTTTCGAAATATTTGAAAAAAAACACATTTTTTTCAGGATATTCATACAAATACATGTGACATGCTCTTTCACAGTTGAGGTTAGGTTAGGTGAAGCAACAATTTATCGATATTATGTATGAGCAGGTGATGGAGATTAAAACACTAATAAATGTTTTATTGTAACGTGTAATAGTTCAAATAACTAGAATACTTGATATTTGGAACAAATACATTGAAGATGAATTTTCTGAGACAAAATGACTGAATCTGGTTCGGGTTGAGGCAGTACAGAATTGGGGGTCATGAAGGCGTGCAAAAATGTAATAAAATTTCCAGGGTCGTATTTAAAAAAAATTAAGCTGATGATGGCCCTGGAGAGACGAAAAGTTACATATAAAAATTCATTATGCCAGTCGATTGAGGGCAAAAAATTGCCATGAGAAAGAATTCTTCTATTTTCAAATATAAATAATAATATATTTTCAAATAAATAATTTTCATTGCACTAATTAGGTACCTACCTAAATTTTAAAATAAAATTTGATGATTGAAGGCAGTCAAAATCTTGAATATTTTTTCTGTTCAAATTTGCATTATATCCTTATGTGTATGAGGATATTCGATCCACCACGTTGAATTTGCAATTCTGAGTTTGTATTCGTGATCAGCAACCTCTAAACCCCTCAGGATTCAATTCGGGAATAATCTATTGATTTTTCGAAAATCTCGTCCGCCATATTGGATCCGCCATGTTGAATTTTGCAATTCAGAATTCAACCCCCACGGGGTAGTATTAATCTGTAACTCCTACATAGCAAATTTTTCATGGATCATTATTTCTTGCAAACCTCGATATTTGGCCGATTTTTTTAAGGTTACAAAAAATGAGGTATGCTGTAAGACTTTTAAAGGTGGATTTGGATTCAGTGAGCCCAATTACATATAGCTATGATAAGAAATGTGAAAAATAATTTTTGTTGTTGTTTTTTCTCATACTTCGTCTATTTTTGCTATTTCTGACCAATTTTTTTGAGGTTAGAAAAAAATGTGACGTATTAGTGCAATTCTGACAGTGGATTCGGATTAAGCGCGTCAAAATACTATAGGATATACTAGTTCAATCAAAACCATATGACATTTTTGTTGTGGGGCTGTGTAATATAATTACATAGTGACATATCTTCAAGATCGAAAGTATGTTGTGGATTCCTGGTCTTCTTTTTCTGATGAATGTTGAGCAAACTCAGGTGTTCCTCAAGGATCTTACTTGGGACCACTTTTTTATTATTTATAAATGGCTTGGATTTTGGCACAGGATCTGACGTTCTACAATAGTATTAAATTCCTCAGTAACTATATTATTGTAACTATAACGATTTAGTCTCAGCTTATAAGATGTTAAGTTTGGTGACAAGAAGATAAAAACGTTAGTTCAATCACAAATGAAAGATGTAGCTAAGAGCTACATCTAGTGACCAATGACTATTTGCTCGAGACCTATAAAGAAGCCAAAAATTGGCAGAAAGTGACCTGTATTAGATATTATGATAGCATCACCAGTTATTCATATTATTCGTCGAGTCGTATCGTTATGTGCTACAAATATAAATTTGACTGACGAATGTATGAATTATGGAACATACATTAGAAAATTGTTCATAGAAATATTGATTGAAACCACTCTACATATTTAATGGTACTGCATACATTTTTTGTATATGCCTGCATATATGCACTATACTTAGTGATTTTATAAATTGCAACAGTCACGAGAGGTCCATAATTGTTAGTCGTCTACGACCCTATAAAACAGTCCAATCGATTTAGGTGGAAATAATTTATTCTTAATGTCATATTTGAGTAATTATCTCTTTCAAGAAAATAATATAAAATGTAAAACTAAAAGTAATTATCAATATTTCGTTAGAAATATTATTTCTGCCACTTATTAAAATGACTGAATTAATTATACTTTACTGCCAATAGAAGTTTGAAGTGCATAAAGTACGAGTATTGACAAATAATTACGAAATCTAAACTTTTAAAACTGCCCAAATTTCCAAATTTTAAAATTCACCTGAAAAATAAAACGAAAAGAAATTTTATGTGTAGAATTGAAATAAAATTCCAATTTTTTTTTGGAATATCAATTTTATATTTAATCAAGAAAATCTATGCTTTTATACTTTATTTTTTAATTTTCCCTTAAATTAGTGACTACTTTATAGATATTCTTTTGAATCCTTCATGCCTAATTTCCAATTAGGTATTTGTTAAGTAATTAGTTTTATTTAAAAACATTTTTATGATACTATTGACTAATGATGAAAAGCAAATATATGCGTCTTTATCAACAATAAGTGTATATCAATAAACTTTGTGGAATTTTGTAACATTATAAATTAACAGAATAGAAAAAGTTATGGAATAGCACAATATTTCCAATTCTCGTATTTTTATAATGATTCACATATATTGTGTTTCACTGTACATTCCCTTCTCCTTAATAAATATGATCAAATAAATATAAAATTTTTATAATGCTATTTAACTTCCAAGTTAACCAATTACAAAATATTCAGAAACGGGAGACTATAACATCTTTATATAATTTTCTACTCCCGGGAACTAATTCAGTCTCCCTTGAAATTCCGAGACGTAATTAGGTCTACGAGTATATTTAATTTCTTAGTTGTTTATTCTCTATTACCGCTATTAAAACATTAAATTATAATGGATGAGTTTCATTCAGAAGTGAATCTTAAATTAATGCCACGAAAATGAATTTTCTACAAAACGATTAAATTCGTTTAATCCTATTAGATTTATTCTCTTCCAGTGATACTGCTGAGTCCCCTAAGAAGTAGCGCCTAAAACAGCATTTCGTCTTTTAAATAAATAGAAATTCTGGCTAAGATTGCTCACACGGAGGCAGTTAATCCCTGAAAGCAAATTTATGTCGTGGAAGAAATCTGATATGCATAGCTTGTTTCAAATCAATTCACCATCAGTTCTCGCTTCAAGGAGACAAAATTAGATTTTTTTTAAGATCGGCCAGAAAGTGTGCAAAATGGCAAAAGCTTTTGTCGATCCCTGTTATTTTCTTCTGATCTGATCCATGTAAGTGAAAAAAAGTGTAAAACCTGTGGAAAATACTAATTTGTTTTTATTTCTACGGAAATAGGTTTGTGTTATTATGTGGATAATCAATACACAATTATAATACACAACGCTAAAATTTTATCAAAATATACATTGTAATTTTAAAGTTAGAATCCAAAATTAGGGAAGAAATTATGGAGAGTGGGTAGATTATTAATTTGACTATCCCTATGCGTTCCCGAAAGATTACTAGATACTTACCGAATACCTTGTACAGTAGGAATATATAATTTTAAATTTGTATTAATAATAAATATTCTTTCAGGTGGTTCAAGAATATGAGCGTGCTGTAATATTCCGTTTGGGTCGTCTTTTGTCCGGAGGGGCCAAAGGACCAGGTAAAGGATATTTTATAGTTTCTTTTTACGTGCCGAGTTAAATAATAGAAACGGGTCACGTCGCCCGCTGTATTATCTTTGAAGGCTATAAATTTTGATCTCAGTAAATCCTAAGATAGTTTCATTTCAAAATGTATAGAACTGTAGATACCTTAAAATTCTGAACTAGACAGTGTTTTGTAATTTGTGGCTCCATCTAAGCTTTATGCGGCCCAACTTCTCTAATGAAAACTAGTAGGAATGGGTTATTACCTATTCATAATACCACTATAGTATTTTATAGTTATTTATTGTATAAGTGTTTAAAATAGCATTTTATCGAGGGCAAGAATGTTTAATATTCTTAAGTGGATAAAAGGCAATTAAAACAGGAATGCAATACAACGTTTTATCCATAATCACATCACAATCATATTTGTGGAGTCAGAATTATTGGAATTTAATAAAAAGATATTCGCACGACTTGATATTTCTTACTAGTACTCAATGAAACGTGGTAGGTTTTGTTATACCTACTAGTTGCTATGGTACGTTGTTTATTATCAATTTAATAAACAGTTGTATTTGAATTTGGTAAAAATGCAAGAAAGTAATTGTGCTTCTGTGGCTGTTTTTGAAGAAGCTCAAGAAGCAATTTTCCATTTATTGCCAGCGAAACATTAAGAAAACGTGTTCGCCGAATTTAACGAATGGAGGGAAAAACGGAGAGCAATGACAATAAATGAAAAATTCATGCTATCGTATTTTTTAAATTTGAAGAAAAAATATGTAATTCCATCTATATGGTCGAAGTATTTGATGTTGAAGGCTACTATAAAGGTCCACAAAAATATAGATATTGGAAAATATAACAAGCTTACTGCCTATTTGAAGAGTGAATCGAGAGGATACAAAGCAAAAAAAGCTGCAGTATTGGAAAGAAGACATATTGAAGAATTTTTGACTGGGGTTTCCCATAAAGATTATTTAATGACTAAGGTAATATCTCTTTACCTTTTACATATTGTTAATAACATAGTGAATTTTGAAATATTTTAGGTTGCACTAGGGGCTTCTGGTGCCTGTCGATGTTGCGAATTGACAAATTCGAAAATTAGTGACGTACAGGACGTTGACAATTATCTACTTGTTTCAATACCTGACACCAAGACTGGCATTTCAAGAAAATTTACAATTATAGAAGAAGGATTTTGCGTGAATCCTGTTGAAATATGCAGAAAATATATTTCTCTGCGCCCAATTCGCCTAACACAAGACAGATTCTTATTAAGATACATCAATCAAAAATGTACTTCTCAGCCTGTTCAATCAACACATTAGCGAAGGTACCTCAATAGTTGCTTCCATTGTATGAGGCGCACTTCAACAACTTTATTGGCCAATAAAGGTGCTGATCTTACAACCATCAAACGCCATTGTGGATGGAAGAGCTCCTCTTTAGCAGAAAGTTATGTTGAGGAGTCTAACATACTTGATATTGCAAGGAAAATCCAAGTAAAATATAGCTGTTCCTTACAAGAAGAGACATCCTTAACTTGTGCAAATTCTTCACAAACTTCGGCAGATGTTATGCGTTCCGAAAATGATGGCAACAAAGCTAAAAGGATTATTAACGGAAAGGAAGTTAAATGCGATATCACAAAAAACGAAATGTCTATTTCTATAAATGTAAATGTTAATGTTAATAAGTAAATAAATTAAATTTTATTTATTATAGGTTTATTATTTTTCATTATTCTACTAGTGAAATAAAGTTACTTTATTCCATTAGTGGATAAAGTATCTCTTTCGACGGTTCATATGTGTGGATGTCCGATTATAATGTTGTGGATAAAATCTATTTACTGAATTCTCGTATTTACTTTGATACATCTTCAACTGTTCAAGGTAATTGATACAAAAATCCCAATTCAGATTTGAAAGACAATAGGGTCAGAAGTTTAAGTTAAAAACGCTACATTTATTTTTTGTTTATTTTGATAGGCAGCGTGATTCCTTTCAGTCTGTATCTACAAGGAAACTTTTTTATACAGTGCTGCAATTTCCGCTTTCCTTTTGATTTTATGACGACGTCAGCATGTAAATATTGAATGTAATATTTATATCAAATACTTACAACCGCAAGCCATAGCCAAGAGCATATTATAAGTGGACTGGCATAATGCTGTAACTGTTCACGTTATCTACAAAACTTTCAGGGCATTACTTTTTATATCCTACTTTACTACAAACAAAATATTCAGAGAAGATATGTAACAAAGGGAACGCAAAATAATCAGTTTTAAGGCTTACGGTGAGCAGTAACCCTATAAAACATATTTCCTTTGGTAACGTTTCAGTAGAAGTAAATAAATATTCTCTTCCTAAACGGCTTTAGAAATATTCCACATTTCCTCAATTGCCAACAAATGCTGCCGAGCTTGAGATATTTTTAATATATTATGGAAACTAGATTCGTCAGTCCTTCGGCATTACTTCCTTTTGATTATTGAAGAGAAGTACATACAGGTGGAAATTTAGATGACGGGAATTGTTTAACAACATTGTTACGGGAGATAAAAACAATTGTGCTTTCCACACTAAAAAAAAAAACAAATCAATTGACTGCTGACTTTATAGGAGTGAAGCAAGCGATTTAAAAGATGCTATGAGATAAATAATACAGACCCAAGGACTGGATCTACGCGTCCTTATGTATGTATTATGATGCGTTGAACATATGGAAAATTCTATTTTTCAAAATCCAACTTCATCTTTCACCTCGTTTCTTATGTCAATGGGATTGTAGAGAGAAAGAGTCAGTATGAACAGAAATGTATGGTTAAAAAGATTTCTATCCAGGGTTGAAAAACATTATCCGCAAAACCCTTGATCCTTCAAATATTCTGCTTCCACCTCTACATACCAAACTTGGTTTCGTAAAATAGTTCGTTAAAGCGTTGGATAAAGATGGTGACTGTTTCCGGAAATGCGTGATGGTTTACCGTCAAGGTAACCTCAAATCCATATCTACCGTGTTAACAGACGAAAATTTATTACAAAAATGAATGAAAATGAAAGATCAGCGTGGTTAAGCTACAAGAAAGTCACTCTGAATTTCTTGGGGAATCAGAAAAGTAAGGATCACCAGAATTTAGTTGAGGAATTGGAAAACTTCAAACAACTGGGTTGCTTGATGAACTTGAAATTGCATTTCCTAGACTCTCATCTTGACTCCCTTCTGGGGAACCTTGGAGACTATAGTAAAGATCAAAGTGGACGGTTTCACCAAGACATCAAGGAAATGGAGCGTCTACCAAGGAACGTGGGATATTAATATGTGGTCTGTTGGATGATTAAAAGGGAAAACGAGACAAAATCACAGAAAAGAGAAAGAAGTAAAAGGAACGTCATTTCTTATCTGGAAACGAAGTTCATATCTACGAATGCCCTCATATCTCTGCAGTCACCAAATGGTTGAAGTTCTACCTATTTCTGGAAAGAAATTTTCAAGACTTTAGAGTTATTTGGCACGGTATAAAAACACTGGTAATAATAAGGTAATAGAGTGATTCCGGCTACGGATTTGGTTTCAGCCCATCAAAATACATATACAGGGTAGCCCATCAAAAACATACCGCAAGGCATTACAGGGTAGTAAAGAACTTTTCGGCAAAATCCAAAAACAGGTCAAATTTGTTTCTGAGGGGGACAACTTTTGGCTCAAAAAGCATACCAAAATCTTCAACCCCCTAAGTGGGGGTGCTATCCCCTAAATTTTTTCAAATGGGAATGGAGGTAAAGTGGGGAGTTATTAGAAAGGGCATTTAATTCTCTATACATCGATTCTTACTTTTTGAAAATCGATNCCGTTCCTTATCCCTTCAGTCTGTCAGCAAGCCAGCACGCTTCAGATGTGAAATTTATTTTATAGCTAAGTAAATCTTCGCTTCAGATTCAAAAAGGGCGAAGAAGACCAAAGTCAATACTTTTAAAGGAAAGTTAATGCACATTGATTGCAACGCTTAAACTTCGAATCAGTGTCTATGATATGATAGAATAAATAAAATAATGTGATAAATATGTACGAATACTTAATGCAAGACACTACTATAAGATGGTCTGAGTGAGAGTTAATTTCACCATTCCTAATCTAAAAAAGAACACCCAGAAACTTACAAGAATTCCCTAACCTAACAATTGCAATATAACAAAATTATGACATATATTTCAACTTTAACGATGGTCAAAATGTTTCATAAAAAATATTTTCACTTATTCATAAAGCTATTAATTTGTAATTTATTTATTTCGTATATTTACGTAAAAGTGTCGTCTTTGTTTAGTACCGTTTAAAAAAATTTGACTCAAATTTCACTCAATTTTACTCAATAATGTATCAATTTATGTCCACACCAGATTGAGAGAAATTTTCACTCTATTAGTACGAGTATAACTGAGTGAAACTATTGCAACAGAAATGAGTGAGTTTTACTCAAATCCGAGTTACTGCTAACTATCAATTGAGTGTAGATTTGAGACATTATTTTTACAATATCTCCTAATTTGAAAGTTCATCCTATTTAATCATTTATGAGTGATTTATTTTTGCACTTAATGTTTAGTTAATTAAAAACCAAGTCTGAGTAAAAAATGACTCAATAATAGTTAAATTTAAATCATATTAGAGAAAAAGTCGACTCTAAGTTGGTTTTATATACTCAGAATAGAGTCAAAAGTCGGACAATTGATAGTTAGCAGTAACTCGGATCTGAGTAAAACTCACTCATTTCTGATACAATAGTTTCACTCAGTTGTACTCATACCAATAAAGTGAAAATTTCACTCAATCGGGTGTAGACAGGAATTGATATATTATTGAGTAAAGTTAAGTGAATTTTTTTTTGACAGTGTAAGCGCACGATAAACTATTGTAGTTCACTCACCGAGAACATATTCGAACATTGTTTATGCAATGAAACTTACTAATTCACAAGTTTAAAAGAAACTGAGACATCTTT